AGGCGGTTCTCCTCCTGCTGCTGCCTGACCTTGGCCACCTGCTTGGCCGTGCGGGAGGCTACCTTGCTCTCCGTGTCCCCGGAGCCAGGCTTGCGAGTCTGCCCGCGGAGCTGCTGGCTTCCGCGGGCGCGCGGGCGCCGTGCTCGGGAGCCTTGCCGATTGGCCGCCCCACCTGGGCAGAGTGATCGTCGTCCGTCGTCGTCGGCGTCGTTGTCTTGGAACCCATTAGGGTCCTGGCCCGTTCAGGGGGCCTCTTGGGCCGCTTGGGCCTCCGTGGGGCCGCTTGAGCCGCGTGGGGCCTCAAGCACGCACATCTTCGAACCAGCGCTCGACGGGGGGGGCGGGTGGGGGAGAGTCAGCAGGCGGGGGTCTCACCGCGCCCCGCTCCCTCAAGCTGCTGACTCATCAAATTTGAAATCGCGGCGCCAGCGGGCGGGGGTCTCACCGCGCCCCGCTCCCTCGGGCCGCTGGCCCCGTGATTTCGCGGGCCCCGTGCAATCCCGCATACAAGCCCGAAACAAAAACCTGCTGGGCGACCCCGTCGTCGTTGTCGTCGTCGTCCTCTTCGTCGTCGTCGTCGTCGTTTGCAGGGGCGCGTCTGGTTTTCCACGGCAGCTTCTTGACGCCGCGCGCGTGCGCGCAGTTCCCGCGGCTGCCGCCCATCGCGGTCCGCCCCCCGGAGCCGCGGTGAGAAGCCGCCCAGGCTGCTGGAGCCACGGCCACAGGGAAGAAAGCATGATGTGATGTGTCCTGCAGGGGTTCCTTTGGGGAAATATGTTCCGCGCAGAATCTCCGGGAGGTCCGCGCGGATTTCTGGGAGTCGGGCTGGGCCCCGCGCCCCTGGAGGCGCCGCCCATGGCGCGCGCCGCGCGGCAGAGGGGGCGGGGCCCAGCCCGAAACGAAGAAGACCGCACGGACTTCGGAAAGGTAACGTTTGCGTGGCGTGGTGGTCGGTGAGAGAAGTGGAGGCATTGTGCAGCAGAGCCCCCGTGCGCTCCGAAGTAACATTGCAAACCCCGAGGCAATGCGTGCATGGATGGCGTGAACGAGAATGCCGCGAGGCTGCGTGCGCGGGCCCTCGCATGAACGCCTCGAGCACGGCTGCGGCGTACTCCCGGTCATTCACGCCATCGCAGTAGAACAGCAACTCTCCCTCAGTGAGGACCCAGGAGGCATCGATGACGGCGTCAAGGTAAGCAAGTGTGGTCGCTGGACGCCAGGACCACTTCTGGTGCGCCACGTTGACCAGGCACGCTCTGGGCACCCACTGCTGGTCAGGCGTGGACAGGGCGCGGAAGAGGGTGCAGAGGTCGCGCGTGTTTGGCCACGGCATGACAGGCGGGCGGAGGTGGAACGCGCCAGCCCAGGGGCGCGCCCACGCACTTCGACCTTCCCAAGACCACTGGATGCGAGACCTCCAGGCGAGGGAGTCGCGCACCTCGTGGAAGGAGTGCATCGGGATGGCCATGGTGTTGAAAACCTTTGCCAGGGGGGCCCACATGCATTCCGTGCCCGCTGTGACGTCGCGGGCGGCTCGCAGGAAGGACTCCTCCGGCCGGCTCAGCGGACAGAACGGTGCCCCCAGCAGTGCCGGCGCGTGGTCCCCACGAGAGCGTTCGAAGAAAGCTGCCGAGTTGGCTGTCGTCACTCTCTGCCGCTGCGCCGCAGCGTCGGACACGCGCGCGCGCCACTCCGCTGCCCGGGCGGTGTCCCCGCGGCACTCGAGTTCCACTGCTTCCAAGAGGGCGTGGTGAGCAAGCGCCTTCCGCGCGCGAGCCGCCGCGGCCCCTTCCCTGGGAAGGTTGCCGTCGCGCCCCGGCCGCGAGCGCCGCGGAAGCAGCGCGGCCGCGAGGTCGACAAGGCTCTGCAAGTGTGGCAGGACGTAGCCCGCCCTCCCTCCGAAACTGAGCGGCCTCCTTTCCGGCACGGACAACGCCGGGCCAGCGCGGTCCTGCGGGTCGCTGAAGAACGCCGCGCGGCCGACCCAATGACTGAGTCCAGGCACTGTTGCCGCGCGAGCGCGCCCATCAGCGGCCGTCGCCTGGGCGGGAGCTGCCGCAGAGCGTTGCCGAGGGGCCCGAGGAGCAGCTGCTGCCACAGAGCGGCGTCGAGGGGCCCGAGCAGCTCGGAGGGGCTCCGGGCTCCGGAGGGCGCCTCGAGCCCACCGCCGCGGCATGGCCTGCGCGCGCCCTCACGCCCAGAAGACGCTGCAATGGCCTTGGGCCTGGGAGAGGGGACGGAGAGCGGGGGGTGGCGAGGGCGGGGGAGGCGGGGCTGGGGAGGAGGAGCGTGCAAACGGAGTCTGCAGACGGACGGCCCGATAGCAGGAGGGATGATGGGTTCAAGAGCTCCGCAAGACCCCGACACAGAGGTGACGGCCCGATAGCCGTAAGGATGATTGGGCCGAGAGCTCCGCACGAACCCGAAATGGAGGTGATCCCACGGCCCGATAGCAGAGGGATGATGGGTTGAAGAGCTCCGCGCGACCCCCACACAGAGGTCACGGCCCGATAACCGCAGGGATGATGGGGCCGAGAGCTCCGCACGACCCCGAAATGGAGGTGAGCCCGCGGCCCGATAGCAGGAGGGATAATGGGTTCAAGAGCTCCGCACGACTCCCAAGTGGAGGTGAGCCCACGGCCCGATCGCAGTAGGGATGATGGTTCAAGAGCTCCGCACGACCCCGAAATGGAGGTGAGCCCACGGCCCGATAGCAATAGGGATGATGGGTTCAAGAGCTCCGCACGACCCCGGGTTCGAGAGACCGAGCGACCCCCAAACGGCCTCTCCAGATCCTACATCACCAGCGCCACCATCGCCCGATAGCCGCAGGGATGATGGGGCCGAGAGCCCTGCACGACCCCGAGATGGAGGTGAGCCCGCGGCCCGATAGCAGGAGGGATAATGGGTTCAAGAGCTCCGCACGACTCCCAAGTGGAGGTGAGCCCACGGCCCGATCGCAGTAGGGATGATGGTTCAAGAGCTCCGCACGACCCCGGGTTCGAGAGACCGAGCGACCCCCAAACGGCCTCTCCAGATCCTACATCACCAGCGCCACCATCATCATCGTCGTCACCGTCGCCATCCGAATCTGCACAAGCTTCACCACCATCAACATCATCATAATCGCCGTCACCAACCTGGCCGCGCACACGGAAATGGCTCACTGGTAACACCTCATCTTCATTCATGTAAAGCTCTTGTGGTGGAGCAAGGCCACGTGTCCATTGATGCCATTTCAGGGTGCGCGCGGGCGTGCCCGGCGCCCTCCTCCTCCTCTCCTCCTCCTCCTCCTCCTCCTCTCCTCCTCCTCCTCCTCCTCCTCCGCCTTCTCCTCCTCTTGATCTTCCCCGCCATCCTCCCCCAACTGTTCCCCGAAGGGTTTCCACAACGTCTGGGGGAACACATGGTCCGATAGCTTGGCAGAGCTCGTGCCACAACCCTCGGCCGCCTGGGCGATTTCAGAAGGCAGGGGGAGCTGTGATTCGCCGTAGGCGTCTTCGATCTCTCTCTCTCTCTCTCGCTCTCTCTCTCATTTCTCTTTCTCTCTCTCTCTCTCTCTCTATATATATATGTATCGATATGCTTGCACCCGGGTGTGTGTCTGAGTGTCCGCCAAACGGCCCCCCTGCCAATCGCTGCCTTTGCCCGCCAACCCACCCGCACCCTGCCCCAAATCTCTCTCTCTCTCTCCGTCTCTCCGCCCGTCTGCCTGCCTGCCTGCACCTGCGCGCCTCGGCGTGCCATGTTGCACGTCTCCGCCTGGGGGTGCTCTGCGCCTCTGCGCCTCTGCGTTGAAGTCGGGCCTGTCCCCCTACAGGGAGATCTTGGGCGACAAATGAAAACATACACCAAAAACATTCCAACATGGTCAAAACATAACAAAAATAGTCTCCAAACGATTTTTTGACAATGTTTGACCTGTAGAGGGACAGGCCTGACTTAACTCTACGTCCGTCTGTGTCCATCTGTCCGTCGACGCCCTCGTCTCTCGGTCTGCCCGTCCGCCTCCTGGCCCCTCAGTCTCCGTGCCCATCACGGCCCCTGTGCTGGAAGCTCTCTGCTCGTGTGTGACCCCCCCTCTCTCTCTCTCTCTCTCTCTCCCCCTGCCGCTCTCGCCCGCCGACACCGGTGCAAAACGGTCGGGGGCACGCATGCGTGGACTGACGGTCCGTGGATCTGGCGCCCCTCCCTAAGATGCGGCCAGCGCCGCCTCGCTCGGCGGCGGGAATCCGCGATTTTTCCTCCGAAAACGGGACCATGTTTGCGGTCGCCTGGAAATGAGGACCGTGCGCATGATCCCGTGCGTGTAAGTCGGGCATGTCCCTCTACGGGAGGATTGCTCAAAAATAGCTTAAATACATACTCAGGGAACGATGTTTTGAGCCTCTCTTGATGATTTTGGAATATGTTTGATTATGTTTGCGCTTTCTTCCAAAGTCCGCCTGTAGGAGGACATGTCCGACGTAAACGTACGTGGGCGAGCAGGAGCACCGAGCAACGCGCGCGACCAAAATCAACCAGCCTGGGGCCCAGCACGTCCACGCGGGCTGCCCCAGGCGGCCCGTCAGTGCCCCCCGCGGCACGAGGAGCTCGACCGAGATAGAGGACAAAGAATCCACCCCCACAATAACCACCCCGACACGCGAAGTCGTTTAGTAAAAGCGCCCAGAAAAGGAATCGAACAGGGCAGGGCTGTTTATGTTTACTGAACGCCCAGGGCCGTTTAGTAAACGACAATGGGTGGATTTCCTCCCTTGACGAGAGGCGTGGAAACACCCCTCGCCTAGCTCCGAGGACTCCGGACTACGCTCCGCTACGTGTTGGTCCAACGGCGTCCTCCGCACATGGGGCGAGCATAGCACACGTAACACCGCTGGGAAGGACATCCGCCCACTGCACGCGAGTGCCGCGTGCAGCTCCGCCAACCGCCACCGACACGTGTCCTGCGGCGCGCCTCGGGTGCGCATTCGGACAGGAGTGCACGCTGAGTCCACGGCCTCGAAGTTGGCGGTGGCGAGCTCCAACGTCGCATCTCGCTCCTGCAACTGTGCCTGGAAACACGTCTGCAACGCGGCTCGTTCACGTGCGGCAGTATCGTCTTTCTCCTGGGGCGAGTCGGGCTGCAACAAAAAACTCATCAAACCGACGGACCGAACCATATGCATATGTGAATATCGCGTTGTGGGTACCGCGTTCGGTGGAAGTCCTTATGAAACCGCGAAGCGCGTCATGTGTGTGCCGTAATTGGTGGGGGAACTGCACGCGGCCGCGGCCACCCGCGTGTTCTGTGGAATTCCATATAGGGCCGCGAAGCGGTACTCTGGGTGGGGAAGACGCGTGCCGCCGCGGCCACTGTAGCCGCCAGTGGAGCCTCCTTATGGGGCCGCGAAGTGCTGCACTGGGTAGGGGAGGCGCATGCGGTCGCGACCACGGGTCACAAAACGCTGCACTGGGTGGGGGAGGCGCGTGCGGCCGCGGCCACTGCGGCCTTCGGGGGCGGATCCCCCTATGGGGCCGCGAAGCGCTGCACTGGGCGGGGGAGGCGCGTGCGAGTGTCGCCTCTGGAGCAGTCGGTGGAGCTTCCCTATGGGGTCACGAGGCGTTGTGCTGGCTGGGGGGAAACGCATGCGGGCGCGGCCATTGGGACCTTTGGCGGGGCTCGCTCTCTATGGGGCCACGGCTCTGGGGCCGCCGGTGGAGCTCCCAGTCACGAAGCGCTGAGCTGGGAGGGGGGAGCGCGTGCGAACCTCGCCTCTGGAACCGTCGGTTGAGCTCCCTATGGGGTCACGAACCGTCGTGCTGGGTCGGGGAAATGCATGTGAACGTCGTTTCTGGGGCGTCACGAAGCGCTGCACTGGGCGGGAGGAACGCATGCAAAAGCTCCCTCTGGGGCCTTCGGTGGAGCCCCTTTATGGCGCCACGGCAACGCTGTACTCGGTGGGGGGGCGACATGCGAACGCTCCCTCTGGGGCCTTCGGTTGGGCTCCCTGTGGAGCCAGGGAGACGCTGTACTGGGCGGGGGAAGCGCATTTGAATGTCACCTCTGGGGCCTTCGGTGGAGCTTCCTGTATGACCACGAAGCGCTGTACTGGGTGCGACGGACGCATGGGAACGCTCACTCTGGGGCCTTCGGTGGGGCCCATTATAGGGCCACAACACAATGTACAATATGAGGCATGCGAACGCTCCCTCTGGGGCCTTCGGTGGAGCCCTCTATAGACTCTACGGGGCCACGGCAACGCTGTACTCGGTGGGGGAACGACATGAACACCCCCTCTGCGGCCTTCGGTGGAGTTCCCCATGTGGTCATGGAAATGCTGTGCTGGGTAGGGGATGGCATACGACCGCTTCCTCGGGGGCCTTCGGTGGAGCTCCCTAGGGGACCACGGAAACGTTGTCTTGGGTGGGGGCAGCGCATGCGACCGTCGCCAGTTGGGCCTTCGGTGGAGCTCCCCATGGGGCCCCGCCGCGGTATACTGAGTGCGGAAGCCGCATGCGAACGCGGCCTTCGGAGGAGCCCCCTTAAAGGCAACGGAATCGCTGCAGTGGGTGGGGGAACCGTATGCGAACGCTCCCTCTCGGGCCTTCGGTTGAGCTTCCTACGGGACCGCGAAGAGCGTACTGGGTGTGCCAGAATGGTTGGCATGCGGAGTGCAGAGACAGGGCCGAGACGAGGGGGGAGCAGGGGGAAGAAGAAGAAGAAGAAGAGGAAGACGAAGAAAGGATGAACGCGGGACCCGACGCCACGGGATGGTTAGGAACACACTTAGTTTGAAGGAGGATCCAACCATATGCAGCTGTGAGCGCCGTCGTTATGAGTATCGCCTTCGGTGGACCTGCTTCTTGGGCCACGAAGCGCGTGAACTGTGTGCCGAAACACGGCGGGGACGCATGCGAACAACGCAAATGGGACCGTGGGTGGAGCACCCTACGGGGCCACGAAACGTGTGAGGGGTGTGCTGAAATGGCTGGCGGGGACGCATGCGGCCACAGCCACTGGGGCCTCAAATGGAGCTCCCAGTGGGGCCAGAAATCGTGTGAGCGGTGGGTTGCGGTGGGCGGTGGGGACGCATGCGGCCGCAGCCACTGAGGCCTCAGTTGGAGCTCCCTATGGTGCCACGAAGCATGCGAGAGGTGAGCCCAAATGGGTGGCGGGGACGCATGCGGTCGCAGCCACTTGGGCCTCAGGAGGAGCCCCACATGGGGCCACGAAGCGTGTTAGTGGTATGCCGACATGGGCAGCGTGGACGCATGCGGTAGCAGCCCCTAGGGCCGTATGTGGAGTTCCCTATAAGGGCCACGAAGCGTGTGAGGGTGCACCGAAGTGGTTGACATGCCTCGGGCAGAGGCAGGGATTGGAGGAGGAAGCAGGGGGAAGAAGGAAGGAAGAAAGAATGACGCGGGGCGCTGTCTCTTCAACACCCAACGCCAGAAGATGGTTGGGAATAATACGGGTTCAACTGGAATCTCCATGATGGCGATCGACCCCAGCCGATCCTTGCCCAGCAGTAGCAACGGGGTAGCAACGGGAGGGGGAAGCAAGAGGCACGCGCGCACGAAAGTGTAGTCTGACACACCTGTAGAGCTCGTCACACTGCACTCCCTCCCGCTCCTACTCCTTCTGCTCCTCCTGAGCCCCCTTTCCAAACCAAACTTGAGCAGGGACCCACCGTCCCGGCATTCCTATAACCCTACCACGAAATGTCCTTAGAACCCAAAAATGCTCAAGAACAACAACACATGTTCTTAGAACGTAAACCCGATGTGATACAACAAGGCAGACTCCGCCAGAAAGGTTCTACGAGCAGTCCGTGGAAACCACACAACAATGTTTTTAGAACACTGTCTGGCAGGGCTATAGGCGAGCCAGGACGCTCCGCCACTGCCCGACAGACTGCTCCGTCCCTGATCTGGTCGAAGAAGCCGGCCCGCATCTCGGCGGCGACCCTCTGCCCCTCGAGGACCTTGGACCTCAGCAGGGGCCCCACGCTCGGAGGCCGTGGCCGTCGTCCTCCGATCCGATCGAACATCCCGACCCTTCGAGGCTCTCGCAAGACCCGATCGTTCATGACGCAACCTCCCATTTTGGACGCCCGAAATTTACCAGCCTCGAACGTGTCCCTATCCCTAAGGTTGACACGCCAAAAGGCGATGACAGTCTTAGGGATTCGCCCTAAAAAATCAGGAATCCCTAAGATTGGCATCGTGATGAGGAGGTGCCCAGCATAGGGATAGGGAATGTTCCAGGCTGGTAAGAAATGGGCACGGAAAGAATGGGTGCAGTGCCCAACAGCAAATGCTGCCTCAAACCAGCAGCGGCCGCTGGTGGGCAGGCGGCCCTCTGCCTCAAATGGGCACAGGCCGCGGCTGCGCGGACAGCGAGTCCTGTTCAAAATGAACAGGAACTGCTGTTGGGCATTGTACCCATTCTCTCTGTACCCATTTCGTTCGTGCAGACCCATGGTGAACTGATCGAGCGATCGATTCGGGCATCCTCGACTTCGGGGTGATATCGCGTGCGGCCGCGGAGGAGTTGATTCCCTTCTGCAGCCCAAAGAGTGTGGTACGACTTCGACTTAGCATGCAGCTCGCTCCAAGAAGAAAAAAACCGTCCACGAATGCCGTGCGCAGGGGAATGCCCCGTCCGCCCGGACAGCCCGCGGCTGTCAGCCAACGCCCCCTGGCCAACGCCCTCCTCTCAACACTTGGGCCTCCCACCGTGTGGCACAAGCCATCCCCTTCTCCCTTCGGGGATCTTCTGACCCGGGTCAATCCAGACCCGGGTCAGCAGGAAACCAACAATTGCAATGCAGGAAAAAAACTGCAACGCAGGTCTTCGCAGACCCGGGTCAGCCAATAGGCGCGGCCGCCGCGCGGCCACGAACGGCTCGCTGACCTGGATCAGCCAGAGGGGGCCTTCGCAAGATCCTGCAGGATCCGGTACCCTGGCTGACCCCCGTTTGCCTTGACACCCGTCTCAAGGCTCCTGGCCCAAGGTGCCCCCAGCATTTCGCTTCATTTTGGAGCCCCTGGGGCCCTCGTGAGGTTTGCCCCTGGAGGCCGCCGGGGCCACCCCGAGAATCCCGGGGGTACCTTGGGCTAGGGGTACTTCTAGCAACACCCGACCTGTTCAGCCTGTCCCCCGGCCCCGTCACCCGGATGGCCAAAAGAGAAAAGCCCGACTCCCGAGCCCGTCCGCCGAGGCCCCGGCTCGAGCGCCGCACGCTCCTCTGCCGCGGCAGCATCCTGAGCCTGCGGGACACTGCGCACGAGGGTGACAACTCCTGGCATACTCCTCCTCCTCCTCCTCCTCCTCCTCCTCCTCCTCTTCCTCCTCCTCCTCTCCACCTCCTCCTCCTCCTCCTCCTCCTCCTCCTCCTCCTCCTCCTCCTCCTCCCCCTCCTCCTCCTCCTCCTCCAACTCCTGTTTCGGACTTCCGCTGGCGCTGTTGCGCACGGGCTTGTTGTGCAGATCGGTGCCACGTTGAAAAACTACTGAACCTCCTGAACTACTGAACCTACTGAAACTACTGCCGTTGATGTCGTCGTTCACTGAACCTACTTGGCATGTGAACTGATGCCTCATTCGTGACCTGATCTCCGAAATTGCTTTCTTCAGCGGCAAAGAACGCAAATCATATTCTGCACGATGCGCCGTCTCGACCTCATCGATTTGGGATGCAATGGAAAGAGACTCGTTGCTTCAGATCCGCGGGCCCCCTTGTGGAGCCCCCAGGCTGTAGGACGAAGGTTCGCAGTTTCCTGTACCAGTTGCAGCTTCCAGTTTCCACTGTTGCAGTTCTGCTTCTTGCTGCTTACTGTTACAGTTCTGCTTCTTGCTGCTTACTGTTCCTTGTTGATGGACCGCGCGAGGGGGGGAGGCCCAAAACAGGAATGTTTACCGGGCCCTGAGCGTGTGCTCTGAATTGCTGGGGTGCGTAAAAATTTACACCCCTCACGCAGATCGGCGGGGTCAGGGTGCAAAAACACATGGGATTTGCCACATGTCTGACATTCGGTGGCACCCCTTATGCAGATCGGCGGGGTCAGGGTGCAACAACACATAGGATTTGCTACATTTCTGACATTCGGTGGCACCCCTCATGCAGATCGGCAGGGTTAGGGTTCAAAAAACAAATGGGATTTGCCACATGTCTGACATTCGGTGGCACCCCTCACGCAGATCGGCGGGGTCAAGGTGCAAAAACACATGGGATTTGCCACATTTCTGACATCCGGTGGCATCCCTCACGCAGATCGGCGGGGTCAGGGTCCAAAAACACATGGGATTTGCCACAATTCTGACATTCGGTGGCACCCCTCACGCAGATCGGAGGGGTCAGGATGCAAAAACACACGGGATTTGCCACACGTGTCTGACATTCGGTGGCACTCCTCACGCAGATCGGCGGGGTCAGGGTGCAAAAACACATGGGATTTGCTACATTTCTGACATCCGGCGGCACCCCTCACGCAGATCGGCGGGGTCAGGGTCCAAAAACACATGGGATTTGCAAGATTTCTGATATTCGGTGGCACCCTTCACGCAGATCGGCAGGGTCAGGGGGCAAAAACACATGGGATTTGCAACATTTCTGACATTCGGCGGCACCCCTCACGCAGATCGGCAGGGTCAGGGTCAAAAAACACATGGGATTTGCCACATGTTTGAAATTCGGCGGCACCCCTCACGCAGATCGGCAGGGTCAGGATCCAAAGACACATGGGATTTGCCACATGTTTGAAATTCGGCGGCACCACTCACGCAGATCGGTAGGGTCAATATCCAAAAACACAAACAGGTCCCGACACTGCTTCACGGCGGCGCCCAGACCTCATGATTCAGCTTTTGCATCTCCCATTATCCGAGACAGGGGGCCAGCGGCATGGGGCGAAGCCCTTACGGATAAGCGAATTTGCGAACTCGCGATACCGCCTTGCTTCGGGATCGAACGAACACAATGTATAATATGATCGAGATCACATATGTCGGCGGTGTGGCCTGGAACATCCCTGAGATAACAATCGCCTCCACACTGTGAATTTGTGTGCCAGCTTAACGGTGCCATTCACGTCCTCAACTCGCGTGTCGCACGCTACTGGAAAGCCGGTCCCTTGGCAAGAGCTGCGCCGATATGACTACACAGTGGCAGCGCCAGGCCCTGAACACAATATTTGAACAATGCAGACGCAGCAGACTTTACTATTCACAGCGAAACCCCTACTGGATCATAAACTTGATACTGTACGAGCGACCATGCGAAACACCACGATCTGGAAGGGATCACACCCGACAAGAGAAACATAAGTGTGACCCCTGCGTACAAACAGTTTAGGACTTGTGGTACTTTCCGCGTGTGGGACTCAAAAAATTCGCCGCCTCGGCCATACGACTGACTGCCGCGGAGGGTAGTCCAAGCGTTTCGCTTGAGACATCCCGACACATCCAAACCCTAACCATGTACATGTGCAACAACCTCACACTTCACTGGTAGACGACAAGCCTTTTACAACATGGGGCACTCATGCCAATTGCCTCAACGAAGCGCAAACCCATCACCTCCACCGATCGAAGGCGGGACGTTGCCGTACAAGCTTCCAACTATACACGGGTGGCGTACACGTTGGTTTCGAAATGTGTGATCCCGACTGAGCGCCACGCACATCCACCTCCAACCTTGCCGACGAATGTGTTGCGGTTGAAGAACGGGTTACATATGTCTAACATGTGGCTACCGCTTCCGGAATGTAATATTTGAGATGCCTAGCAATGACACGGATGCGTGGCGCCTCCTGTCCAAATGCGCAAATGAGGGACCGCCGCGTTTAAACCTCCGTCTTTCGCGTGAGGCTTCGTGGCTATATGGTGACAACAATGCTATCCAGCGTGGGCCCCAGCCAATGCGTTATGGCTCGGTGGAGGTGGAACCTATGCGGTGCAGGTGATGTCGCGTGCGCAGGTGTGAGCTGTGGAAGTGGAAACTGTGCGGTGCAGGCTACGAGGTGTCACCTGTGTGATGGAAGCCATGCTGTGTAATACGAAGCTGCGCGGTGCAAACCTGTATGGTACAGGCTGTGTGGCGCAAGCTACGTCGTGGTGGTTCAAAACACGAGGCGTCACGGGCGGCAGCGTTTTTTTCGTCGCGGGCGCAAGCGGAAGCGCAGGCGCCGAGTTGAAAGGTCCGGGCCACGGGCCAATCAAATTAGCAACGCGCAAGCCTAAAAGCACAGGGCGGCCACGTGGCGCAACCTCAGGAAACCCGCCAGGCGCACGGGGCGCCCCCGAGGCAGCAGCGGGCGCCACCTCGGCATACCCCTCGAGCGCGAGGGGCCCACGACGCTCCCACGAAGCGGCACGGGCAGCAACGTGGCGCAACCTCGGCATACCCCCCAAAGCGTGGGACGCCCACGACTCAGACTGCCCAATCAACTCCTCGAGATCCCAAGAAATACACTACTGACATTCGCGGCGGCAACGGGGCAACGCGGCAACGGGGCGGCAACGCGGCAACGGGGCAACGGGGCAATGTGGCGTAACCGCAACTTGGCGAACAACGCGCGGCAACGCAACGGATCCTCTGCAGAATCCCCCCCAACCGGCAACGAGCGGCAACGTGGCGAATCCTCGGCATGCCCACACAGCGACCAGAGCGGCAACGACGCGGCAGGGGGCGGCAACGCGGCGAATCCTCGGCATATCCCTGCCGACGACAACGTAGCGAACCCTCTGCAGCCACCCGCAAGCGGCAATGGGTGGCACATGGCGGCAACGGGCGGCAGAGAAGCGAACCGTTGGCATATTCCCCGAAGCGGCAATGGGCTGCAACGTGACGTATCCTCGGCACAGCCCCCACAAGCGGCAACGGGCGACAACATAGCGAATCCTCGGCATACCCGCACAGCGACCGGAGCGGCAACGACGCGGCAATGGGTGGCAACGTGGCGACTCCTCGGCATACCTCCGCAGACAACAACGGGCGGCACCGTGGCGAATCCCCTGCAGACTCCCTTAAGCGGTAATTGGTGGCAGCGTGGCGAATCCTCAGCATACCCACGCAGCGCGCGAGGCGGCAACGACGCGGCAACGAGGCGGCAGCGTGGCGAATCCTCAGCATACCCACGCAGCGCGCGAGGCGGCAACGACGCGGCAACGAGGCCGCAACGGGACGAATCCTCGGCATACACCCGCAAGCAGAAACAGGCGTCAACGTGCCGAATTCCCGGCATACCCTCACGAACGGCAACGGGGGCCAACGAGACGAATCCTGCGGCGGCAACGTGCCGAATCATCGGCATACGCTCACAGGCGGCAACGACGCGGCAACATGGCGAATCATCGGCATACCACCACAGGCGGCAGCGGGCGGCAACGCGCCGACTCCTCGGCGTACCGCCAGAAGCGGCAATGGGTGGCAACGTGGCGAGTCCTCGGCACACCCCCACACGCGACAACTGACGGCAACGTGGAGAATCCTCGGCATACCACCACAGGTAGCAGCGGGCGGCAGCGTGACGAATCTTCGGCACACCCGTCCAACGCACAAGTCGGCAACGACGCTGCTATAGGCGGCAACACGCCGAATCCTCGGGATACCCACACAGGCAGCAGCGGGCGGCAACGCTGCGAATCCTCTGCATTATCCCTGCATGCGGCAAGAGGCAGCACCGTGGCGCATCCTCGGCAGACGCACCCATCCGTTCGTTATGCACACGTAAAGCAATCCCGTAAGCGCATGCACTGTTTGGGGAAAATAGCACGTTGTTGTTGGGTTCATCCGTCTTCCGCCTAAGACCTCCTGGGATTCAGGACAGGGCCGCTCCGATCCCTGAACGGCTTCGTGCATGGAAGGCGGTTCCTTCTCAAGAGTGTGATCTCGCTCCACCCCCGCACACATTGCTCGGATACTCTGCCAGGCATGTACATGGATCGAGGGCGAATCCAACTGAACATGTCTGCATAATGGCACGGCAAGTGGTCAGACCAACGCACGAATACAGAACTTCGCGTGCGGGGAGACAGTGGGAGCGGACCACATGCTTCCACAGCTAGCGCCTAACTCTTCACTCGGGAATGGACAGAACCCAGGAGGAGGAGGAGGAGGAGGAGGAGGAGGAGGAGGAGGAGGTGGGGGAGGAGGCGGAGGCGGAGGCGGAGGCCTTAGTAAAACGTGGCTTAGTGGAAACGACCTCGGGCACAAACCTGGCGGGCGCAAGCCTGGAACATGAAGGCCGCGGCGCCCCTCGAGAACCGAGAACGGACAATCTACTAATCGACGTGTCGCGGTGGAGGTCCTGTCCACCCCCGATTCACCAGGAGCTGCGGCGGACAAACGACTCGCGCTACAAAACACAGACGTTTTACCAACAGCCCGCGCGCAAGAGAACACATCGAGAAGGCGATGTTTTTACCTCAGCGCCAAGAAGGAGAGATATCCCTGCACACAGAAGTGCCCAAACCAGGGAGAAGGGAAGAGGGGAGGAGAAGGAGGGAGGAAAAGGAGGTGAAGAGGGGAGAAGGAGTTCGAGGGAGGAAGAGCAGGGAGGAGGAGGGAGGAGGAGGGAGGAGGAGGGAGGAGGAGCAGGGGAAGAGGGGAGGAGGAGGGAGGAGGGGGTAGTGTTGTCCGCTGGTTATGAACCCAAATGCGTTCATATCAAACTCGCAAACCAAACGGGGTCGTACAATTCTGGTCCCCGGGACCGTCCCTTTTCCAGCTTGTGTTCACACAGTCGTCGAACAACTATTTGTGTTGTTGACATACATGGAGAGATTTTGGCGGACGGGAGTGTGTAAGGAAACATCAATGGTGCGTTCTGGATTCACTGTGGTCCACCCGCTCCTCCTCCTCCTCCTCCTCCTCCTCCTCCTCCACCTCCTCCTCCAAAGCCATCTCCACCGCTCAGGCGGGAAACGTCGCCCTGGAATATGCGACACATCGCCGACAGATTGGCGATAGAATCCCCGATAGCAGATACAGGACTGTGTGGGGATATCGGCCCCATTTTCGGGCCGATGCCTCCCACCCCCCCCTCTGAACCTGCCCCCCACAAGTTGCCCCTGGCCGTCACCCCCCCGCATGCGGCCGATTCGCTACCCTCCATCTTTGTTGTCTGTTCCCCCGCTCTCGCGATCCGAAGCCGTGCTCGTGTTCCTGACGACAAGCGTCGCCATAAAGCCCTGGTATCCTGGGAATGCGTTCGTGGGATCCCCCCTTGATCTGGACGAAAAAGAAGAGCGCCATAAACATCATCTGGTGGCGATCCGCGCGGATGTTTTGGTTCCGCGCTGGATCCCCCTCCCTGGCGCGCTGGATCCCCCTCCCTGGTGGATTTCTTGGTTCCGCGCCAGATCCCGGAAATCCGCGCTGACCTCCAAAAGTGTATGTTTATAGCGTTTGTACGTTTTTCATCTGTTTCTTCGATGATCACCATCCGCTGGCCTGAAGCTCCCTCTGGAAGGCCGCGCGCTGCTCCGTCGAGGCCCGGTCTTTCTCGCGCAGTTGCGCCTGCAGCGCCGCGCGCTCGCCCTCCGCGGCCACATGCCTCTCCTGGCGCGGTCAAGGAAGACACGTATGCGTGTGTGTATACGTGCATGTGCGTGTGCGTGCGTGTGTGGCCACGTGACTGCCGGAATGGGGGCCACGGGAGGAAGACGTGTTGGAAAGAAGCAACGTGAGAGGAGAAATCGGGATGACGAGGGCAGCACAATAGAACCACAGACCAGCTCGCCGCTTAGACCCCACCGCCAGCCCGGACGGCCAGTGCAAGTCGGGCGCAGCTCCTCAGAAACTGCCGGGGGTGCGCCACCCATGGGAAGCGCCATAGGTTTGGCCATCCGTAGGTTGCGCGCGCGTGCATCAAGTATATGACATAGGTAGAAAAAGGCCAAATATAACCAGCGATATAGAAGCGTTTGTCCACTCAGTGGGCTATCAACGAGGAGCTAGCACGGCGTAGCATGGCACGACATCGCGAACCAGACCACGCCAGTGTGAACTCAACTATGCCATGACGTGCCACGTCCCAACATGGAGGTCCATCACACGACGTCGCAGATCAGATTGTCGTTGCGTTGCGCGGCTCATCGCGTCCTTACGTTGAACTTCGTGTCGTATTTTTTGTTACGCGCGCGCAGAGCGAGCTGTCAAGCGCCTCGGCGGCGCCGTGCCCAGCTCAGGCGCGTGCACCTAAGTAGGGGTGAAGGGGGGGACCGCCACACGCGACCCGCACACAGGGAGTGCAAGACTGCGCGTGTGGCGGGCGGTTGCCTCCGCGAGCGTCACGGGCAGCACACCGTACGACGAGGCCGTGCCACCCGGGGCCCAGGCATGTAAACATGATCCGCTACAGTGCCAGCCGCACGTTCGGGGCGTGCTTGAACGCTTTTCGTCTTCTCAAGAGGCTGTGCTTGAACGCTTTTCGTCTTCTCAAGAGGCTGCTGGGGCCGACCCCCTCGCCGAGCGCATCTGGGAATCGCCCCCGCTGAATCCCAAGAGCCCTCTGTAGAAGTCAAAACATCCACCCCCAGAATAACCACCACGACACGCGAAGTCGTTTTGTAAACGCGCCCAAAGAAGGACATACACAGGGCAAGGCTGTTTAGTAAAAAGCCCAAGGCCGTTTAGTAAACGCCAACTGTCTGGTCCAGGTGGTTTTTCCTCTCTTGACTTTGGGCGTAGGTGGTTTAGCGAGTTAGTTCTTCCAGCCGCCTTGTACTCACTTCGGGGCGAGGTGTTTTATCTCCCCCTTCCCCCTTTCCCCCTCTCCCTGGGTCTGAAGCGGGCGTTCTGCGAGTCCTTGGAGCGTCCAAGATGGCTCCAGTACTGCCTTAGACAGTCCAAGATGGGCTCCAAGATCGCTCAAGGTAGACCAGGGTGGCTGAATCATGTCTCCAACATGCTTCCAACAGGCCTCAAGACTGCCCCAAGACGGCTCCAAGTGGCCACGAAGCCTCCCAAGGACCCCCCACACGAGAGGCCAACATCCTTCAACAGACATTGCTTGTACCATGCCTGCTGCCCTCGCCCCCTGTTGCTTCCGATGGGCTCTTACTCCCTTGGGATGGCTCCAAGACGGCACAAGATTAACGGGCGAGGAACGGTGTAAAATCAACTTTTTCGCTGTCGGGGGCGCCGGTCCCTGGGCAGCTGGAAAGTTTATACCCTTACGGTGGCACCGTAGGGGGATAAACTTTCCAGCCGCCCAGGGGCAGGTATCCCCGACGGCGGAAAGTCCCACCAGCCCTTTGGGCGTGAGTGGTTTAGGGAGCTCTCTCTGTTCTCAACCCCCCTTCTTCCCCTTCGGGGAGGGGTTTACCCCTCCCCCTACCCCCTCCCCCTGGGCCTGGAAAGGTCCTCTCGCGGGTCGTTGGAGGGGTCATTTTCGACTCCTGGGAGGGCTAAAAAACGACACCCCTCACGAGGATTCTGGCCCCGACGGGGGGGGGAGAAAAAATGCTCTCCTCATCTGTGATCGATCCCCCGACAGATGGCCCCAAGATTCCTCCCAGACCCCTCACAGGGAGCCCCACGAGGCCCCAAGAGGCCTCCAAGAGGCCCCCAAGATGCCCCCAAGCGGCCCCCCCAACAGGCCCCAAGAGGCTTCCCCGAGGCACCCACGACGCTCCTGGAAGGCCCTGGAGCTGCCAAGAGGCGCCCAAGACGCCCCAAACGGCATCCAAGAGGCTCCCAAGAGGCCCGAAGACGCTCTCACAAGGCACCCAGCACGCTCCTAGAAGCCCCAGGGGCCGCCAAGAGGCGCCGAAGACGCCCCAAGAGGCCTCCAAGAGGCTCCAAAAAAAAACATGTACTACTACTTCTATCCTTATTCCTTATTAGAATATACTCCTACTCCCCCCTCAGGCCGGCAGATAGCGGGCGCATCCGGGTGGTCCCATCCTAACCTGTAAAAAACAATACAAAATCAACATTTTTCTTATTTTTTCCTCTCGACATGGACGTCCTGTCGTCCACGGCGATAATCCATTGCAAAAAATACCACAAAGAGCACACGCGCGCGTTCATGTCAGAATCCTACCGAACACCGTGTGTTTGCAAGCATTTCAACATAAAAACATCAAAAACCCAATGCTTTTTTTTCAAAAATTGTACAAATTTCCCGCCCGGGCTCTCTTGCTGAAATCATAGGAAAACCATAGGAATCTTAAGAATTCGGTCAAATCCAGCGATTTCACATCATCGCGCGGTGCACTCGCGATGCTCTGTCATGCACCCAGGCCGCGAATCCTGTGCAAAAAATACCACAAAGAGCACACTCGCGCGTTCATGTCAGAATCCTACCGAACACCGTGTGTTTGCAAGCATTTCAACATAAAAACATCAAAAACCCAATGCTTTTTCACAAAAATGCTTTGGGGTGTCCTGTCAGACCGTCGGGCTTCCTCCGGCCACCTCTGGCTTCCTGCGGTGTACCGGGCCATTCTCGACTCGTCTGGCAATGCGTGCGCGGCATTCAACACGCGCTCGCCAGTTCCCGTCGGCAACCGCCATCGCGGCCGCATCAGCTGTACCAAACCGGCTGGCCGGTGTGACTTCGGCCCCCAGTTGTGCCAGCTTTGCTTCTTATGTTGTGGGAGGGCGGGTGGGACTGGGCATGCCATGCTTGACTCGCTCGAGCTGGCTAGCTTGACTCCTACTCCTACTCCTACTCCGACGACGACGACGACGACGACGACGACGACGACTACTACTACTACTAATACTAGTACCACTACATCATCTCCTACTACTACTACTACTACTACTACTACTACTACTACTACTACTACTACTACTACTACTACTACTACTACTACTACTACTACTACTACTACTACTACTACTACTACTACTACTACTAGTCGGGGAGTGGGTTGTGCCCCTCCCCCTACCCCCTCCCCCTGGGCCTGGAGAGGGCGCCCCGCGGGTCGTTGGAGGGGTCTTTTTCGACGCCTGGGAGGGCTAAAAAACGACACCTCTCACGAGGATTCTGGCCCCGACGGGGGAGGCAGAAAAGTGCTCCCTTCTTCTTTGAAGCCAAAAATCATTGATTTTACTACGGTATTGGCCCCATTTTGGCCTTCTGAGGGGGCAGCGCTAATTAAAGCTCCCCTCTTCTTTCAAGCCAAAAAAAATTGATGTTACTAAGGTTTTGGCCCCATTTTGGCCTTCTGAGGGGGCAGCGCTAATTAAAGCTCCCCTCTTCTTTGGTCGATTTCCTCCAAGATGGCCCCAAGAAGCGCCCAGGAGGCACCAAGAGGCCCCAAGATGGCCCCAAGAGGCCCCCAGGAGGCCCCCAAGAGGATCCCAAACGGCCCAAAGAGGCCCCCCCGAGGCACCCAAGACGCCGAAAAGCCCATCAGGACGACCCTCTACTCGCCTGGGCGTCGTTTCTGGACGGGCAGGAGGAGGGGCCCGAACGACTCACACCAGGACGAGGGGCCCGAACAACTCACACCACGAGAAGCCCGAACGACTCACACCAGGACGAAGAGCCCGAACGACTCACACCACGAAGAGCCCGAACGACTCACACCAGGAAGAAGGGCCCGAACGACTCACACCAGGCCCCCCCGAGGCACCCAAGACGCCGAAAAGCCCATCAGGACGACCCTCTACTCGCCTGGGCGTCGTTTCTGGACGGGCAGGAGGAGGGGCCCGAACGACTCACACCAGGACGAGGGGCCCGAACAACTCACACCACGAGAAGCCCGAACGACTCACACCAGGACGAAGAGCCCGAACGACTCACACCACGAAGAGCCCGAACGACTCACACCAGGAAGAAGGGCCCGAACGACTCACACCAGGACGAGAAGCCCGAACGACTCAAACCACGAGGAGCGCTTTCTCTCCCTCCTCCTCCGCCTCGTCCTTCTCCCGCTCCCACCACAAGGAGGACGTACAAGGAGGCGGGAGGAAGGAGGAACAGGGGAGATATGCGGGGGGAGGCGGAAACACGCCTGAAAAACACGACTGTCGGCATGCTTCGCTAGAGCTGCTGTTTTGAGATGGGCTGGTGGGGATACGCGAAGCGTGAAGAATTTATGTTACACCGTTCTTCGCTCGCTGACAAGAAGGGCCCCAACAAGGGCCCAAGAGGGCTCCTTGCCATCGCTCGGACGTCCATTCCCCGTGCATGCCTTGGTCCTGCGGTTCGAGCTTCTCGAGGTGGTCCGCGACGGTCCACACGCTCTGGCGCTGGCCCCGCCGAAGCAAGCATGCGCACGTCCGGGCGATGCCAACTCTCTAAGACGGTCCCAGCAACGCCCCAGGGAGGTCACTGCTCGGGCTCCGACGGGGGAACCTGACATATCCGACCCCCGTCTCTTGATAGATAGATTATCTCCCAAATGGCCCCAAAGCCCCCCCCCCGCCCTCAAGAGGGCCCCAAGGGAGCCCCAAGAGGGTCCCGACGGGGCGCCAAGAAAGCTCCACATGCTTCTAAACTTGCTCCGATGGGCTCCTCGAGGTCTCAACAGTAACAAGTGTTGGCCTGCTTGCTTGACCATATGCTCACCTACGCCCTTCCTCCAAGCATCTCCCCTGGG